TCATCAGCAACTTTCGTTGGACCTTTAGAATTTACAACTGTTTTAAACCATGGTTGTACAACAATCAAGGATCTGGATGAACCAGACACAATTTTATTAAATGGAAATAGCAACAAAAAGATAGCAGATAGTGACATTCACGATTTGATATCCCCTATTAATAATGTTTCCTTGGAAGAGGTAATAATGTTGATTCAAAATATGTTACTATTATTCTGATTTCATAAATATTCAAAAAATGTTCTAGATACAGACAAATTACGTTGAATATGCAGAGGAAAACCATGTATGAAGAATAAAAAAAATGTTAAAATTGAATATAAGGAATTTGTATTAAAATAATAATAACAATAAAGGAAAATGGAGAAGAATTAATGCATGATGATTTACAAGAGCCACTTGATGTTTTTCCTGACCAATCTAACGAACAAGATAATCAGGTAAAAAAAACTATTTATTTAATATTCGAAATTTTGCAAGTAATTTAACCCAATAATAATAATAATAATAAAGAAAAATGAAGAAGAATTAATTCTCGATGATTTGATATCATCACAAGAGCCTCAAAATAATCAGGTAAAATTTATTTATTTAATACTCGAATTTTGCAAATAACCGGTTTAAACTAATAATAATAATACTGTAATAAAGGAAAATGAAAATGAATTAATACTCGATCATTCAGTATTACTGCAAGAATCTGTTGGTTTCCCAGACCAGTCTGGAGAACAAATTGATTCTCAAGATAATCAGATAAAAATTTATTTATTTAATACTCAAATTTTGCAAGTAACGGATTTAACTTTTTTTCTTGTTAATTTAAAGTGTACATACGATGAAATGGCAAATGCTCCGAGTAACAAATATCCTATTGTTTTAATTCCGAGTGTTAATGTGGTAAGAATTTTCTAATATTTAAACTTCAATTATCACTAAGTACATTATCATAAAGAAATCAACGCAATTTAAATGTATGGATTAAGCCATTATAAAATTAACAAATTTTTAAAAAAAGGAATTATTAAATTTGAAACTTCAGCGAAGTCCATCACAAATTAATGACTCCGAGGATGAGATTGATGATAATAGTGAATCATCGAAAGTTAATGAGCAATCATCTGAAATTCAAGAAAATGATGATCACCAGATATAAATTCGCCTTTTCAAAAGCTTAACATTTGAACATTCCTAACTTGGCACGAAATTCAAGAAACAGTCAGATGACTCACTACCCCCCAAAAAAATAGCAAATCTTTGCATGTTAATAAACGGGTAAAAAATTTTGATTAAGTTTATAAAAATTATTCTTTATGTTTACAAGAAATTGTTTTTAAAGAAATCAAAAAAGAGAAAGCGTAAGGTCTCTTTAAATATTTCACGTAAAAAAAAAGAAAAAACACAAATACAACACGCCGAAACTGATTCCGATAGTACGTGAACCGTCATTTTTTCAAATTCAACATAATTAAAAATTATAATTAATATATTTTCATTGATAACTGTAAGATGATGAATCAACATCATTGGATGCTACAATTGAAGAATTGCAAATAAGTAGTAAGTTATCACAAAGATAATTATCCAAAAGTTTAAGTAAAGTTAATGCTTTT